GGACTGCTAGTATACGGGGGAACGTCCAAATGCAGGGGCCCAGTCGTCCCTGTTGATTTGGCTGCGCCGTGTTGAGGCTCTGCCCTAAACCCTCAACCCTAAACCCTAAACCCGAAACCCTAAACCCTCTAACCCTATCGACCCCCGAATCTCGAGATGCGCCTCGGAAGCGGCAAGGCTTCACGGAAGCGTACCAACTGCTTAACAGGAGTCCCAGCTTGAGTTAAACCCTAAACCCTAAACCCTAAACCTTAAACCCTAAACCCTAACCCTAATTACACCCTTTGTCCACCGAATCCATGAGTCCAAAATCCAATCCTCAGGGACCCTGAGACCGAAACCCACTGAAGGGTTTGGGGGCTGATGGGTTGGGAAGTTCCCCCTTTATTCGAACAGTCCTTGATATACTGAAACTGAAACTGAAACAGTTTCGGTTTCAGTTTCAGTTTCAGTGGGGTTCGGTATGGGGATTGTAGCATCCCCTATTCTAATCCCTATTAAAGACGGTTCGTATAAGGGGGAACATCCCAACCGATAGTGTTTAGGGTCCAGGGTTTGTTGAAAGTCCAAGCTCCCAGCGGAGGCAGAGGTCCCCGCCTGAGTGGAGGGTTTCGGGCAGGGTTTATTGGGGTTCAGGGTTTAAGGTTTAGGGTTTAGGGCTTCGTTTTAGGGTTTCGGGTCTAGGGTTAAAGCCCGTTATCCTCGGGGAGAAGAGACTGGCTAACGGTTGAAACCACGACACTACTGTTGTCCATTCTCCCAATTTCCTGGATGGTAGCACCGATACCTTCAAAGAGTCCCATGTGCTACCGCTTTCGACTTCAGGTACCCAGAGTCGTCAGCATCTTCACTCGGGTCTACTTGGAGTTTCACGAGTAGGTATAAGTAGGGTTCTAACTGTGGTAACAAAAATTCCAACCCCATTCAGGGCACTCATAACCTTACTTATAGCTACCCATGAACCTCCAAGTAAGCACCTCACCCTAGACCCTAAACCCTAAACCCTAAACCCTAAACCCTAAACCTTAAACCCCAGTAAAGCTCACCCCAGCTCCTGCTGGGGTCCGGGCAGGAGGTCATCCAACAAGGCGAGCAGGCCTGAAAGGGGACCGAAGGGGCTTAGGGTGTTTCAGGACCCTATATATATATATGTATTTAAAAAAAAAAAAATATATATATATATATATATATATTTTTATTTATGTATATACATACCCTTTAAGGGGGGAGGTTTTAGGGCCCTTTTGATACCGCTTAAGGGGGGGAGTATATCGGGTCCTCTCTACACTTCCTTTAGGGGGGGTAGGGCTTCGGCGGCCTAGGCCGGCCCTAAAGCCCTAAACTTCAACCCTGAAATTCCGGGTTTCGGGTGCCAGGTCTGGCTCGGTCAGCTTGACTAGCAGCATTTACCTCTAAGAACACAGGCAGCAGATCCTGTAGTATTATGATATGAAACGTGTCGACGGGCGATTTCGTGGTGTTCGGTGGGGGTGGGGGGTGGGGAGTCGCACATCAAGAACCAAAACAGATCTCAAAGGTAATGTACCTTTTCATACAGTTCCTTCAAGGAGCTCTTGACCGGCAACCCACACCTCCTTTCAAAGCTTTGGGCTCGGGGTTGGGGTTCAGGGTGGGTTTTGCAGTTGAGGCTTTTTGGAAGTGTTGGATTCGGTGAGTAGCCTGCCTCCACAGCATTGCATCTGCTGCAGCCAATGCATGTCACCCAAAGGCGGCTGCCAAGATAGAAGAACCCCCTGTTTAACAAGGCTTGCAGGGCTTGCAGAATCCACGGGCAGAGGCTGCAAAGATGTTCATAAGTGTGCCCTAAGCATCTGGCGCAAAACGCTGCGGACAGAGACCACTGCATTGACTGGGCAAGCCACAAATCCAACCATGCCTTGAGCCTGTAAATTCGCCTCGGCTTCCTGCCGAGAGCATTTGGAACAAGCAGACCCGGATCAGGTCTCCTTCCCCCTAACCCAACCCTTCCCCCGATGCCGAATATTGTGAGGGACCCCCGCCCCGCCCTGTGGGACCCCGCCCATCGCCTGGAGGTGCTGCAAACCGATGCCGTGGCGGGTCCCGCCTGTCGCAGGCTCCTATAGAGGGGCTTTTCTGGCATGGGACCTTCCTGGACCCGTAGGCCAGAAACCCCTCTTTCCTCCTTTCCTGTCCTGGGGCCCGCAAGCGTTTAAAATTGTAAATCCCCTCAACTCCCCCCGCCCTTACCTACTCCAGTGTTGCCTCGGGATAGCGGAGAAATTCACGTGTTGGGAACTGGGTTCCTCGGCTTGACCTAGTACGGGCGCAGGCGACGCGCAGCGTACAGAATCAGGCATTGGAGGCACCCCGACGCACATGTCTGACTCGCTATGAAACGTCCGAGACCACCCTCAACTATGATTCTCTCACGATTCGAATCCGTTTTCATGCTCGCCCCCCCCGCGCTCACTGTCGCCAGCGTTCCGCAGCCACTTCTATTGTTGGCCTGGGGCCGAGGGCTGACCCTGTGCCTTCAGCAAGAATCCGCCCTGAGCGAAAGAGAATTCAAAAGAAACATCATACACCAAGCTGACCGAAATGACAGAGCGCTGTTGATACAGACCGCAATGGAAGATGAAGCGCTCCTCTGACAGCCAGCATTTACTGGTGGCCGCCCGTGCTTTTAAAAAAAGAGGCCTCAGCCCGATGTGGGCCAGGTACTTGGGTGATCATGGGACTTAGCAAGTAGGGTTATAAGTACCCTGCTTGGGGTTATAAGGAATTGCAGCTTTAGTTGCCCTGATTAGAACTCTGCTTACTAAGTCCCCTGATCCTTCAAGTAATTTTGGCTGAGGCTGGATTTGCAGATGAGACTGCCTCACACACTAAGCTGTTTAGCGTTGAGGGTCTAGGGTTAAGACATGTAGGAGAGAGCAGGATGGAGTAAGACTAAGAACCCCAAAATCCGAGTCCAAACCCGGGGACAACTTGACAAGGTCGCCCGTGGAGCTCTCACATGACCGCGCTCACGGTGGCCAGGACGACTTCATCGAGGAGTTCCGCAGCCCTGCTCGCACGGTTGCCCTGCAGGAAGGCGTCCAAACGGTGCAGCATGAGGTCCTCGCGGGCTTATGATTTGGGGCGTGCACCTGCTAAGAAGGAGTGCAACAGCAATCATAGACCCGAAGCCCCAAAGCCCTAAAGCCCCAAACCAAACCCAACCCTAAACCCGAAACCCTAAACAGGACAGGTCCTGGAGCCCCATGTTGAAGCCGTCTGGATCATGGATCTTGCCGAGGACCAGGTCCTGGTCGCCAGTGCAAGATCTGCGGCTTTTCTGTCCAGGGGTTAGGGTTTAGGGTTTAGGGGTTGGGGTTTAGGGTTTAGGGGTTTAGGGTTCAGGGTTCAGGGTTTAGGGTTTAGGGTTTAGGGTTAGGGTGTATAGAAGGGAAGCTCGCTGGTGCTAAAAGCACCCTGGCCGCTCGCTTGCGTTAGCATGTAGTCCCACCCCAACCACCCAAACTATTCTCATTTAGGGTTTAGGGTTCACCCCCCCAAACCCGCCTCAACAAGGGCTTTCTTGCTTTTTACAGAGAAAGAGCAGGGTGGGGCCTCCCGAGCTTTGTGGAGCCTGTCAGTGGCTCGTAGGCTTCTTGGAGCTTTCACGGAGTAAAATGGAGGGGTGCCCAAAACCTCGATTGCAATACTAGAAATCCGACATTTTCATTACAGGTCTCCGGGCAAATCCTGGATCGTCATGCAGCCTTAGGGCAGCAAAACGGTAGGGGTCGGCCGACAAGTGCTTCCAACCATGAAAACAGTTTGCAAAGTCAAGGTGCCAGAGAAGGATTCCAGGAAAGAGGAAAGGCAGGTTTGGAGGGTCCAGGTCTCCGGTAAAGGTCGGGGTCCAGCCATCCAGGAGGGTCCCGGGATAGGGGGCCCGGTGGCAAGGATCAAAAAAGTCCCAGACAGGTTTGAAGGGGTCCCAGCAAGGGTTTCAGGGTCCCAGCGGGTCCCAGGAAAGCAGGGGAGGGTGAGTAGGGTTTGGGTTTGGGGTTTAGGGTTTAGGGTTTAGGGTTGAGGGTTTAGGACTAGGGCTTGGGGTTAAGGGTTTCAAGCCAGGTTCTTGGCATCTTGCCGTCCTTAAGCCCCAATATACAACGCTAGAGCCGGAAAGCCTTGGCTTGAAGCCAATAACCTCCGAACACCGAAATCCTGAACCCTAAACAAAAAACCCTAAACCCTAAACACTAAGCCCTCCTTGTCTGCAGGGAAGGATGCTTCTGCGTCTCTGACATCCAGCCGTGCAAGCCTGTCCAGGCAAAGGTCTCTTGCGGCCAGCGAATGGATCTTGATAGCCTGCTCCAACAGGGTTTAGGGTTTAGGGTTTAGGGTTTAGGGTTTAGGGTTTAGGGTTTAGGGTTTAGGGTTTAGGGCTTTGGGCTCCAGGCGTTCCCGACATGGGGTGCTCAGGATACTTGAGACGATGTAAGGACTGCCATGGAAGCTCGTGGAAGCCCAAACGAATCCTCGTTGCTGAGTACCCTGGGCAAAAAGGTTAACCTTCCGAATTGTATATATACCCCAGAAGGTTAAAGGTTACATACTCAGCTACTAGGGAATACCCCGCGCCTGCGGCAGGTGGATTTCATGTGCCTCTACGAGCTCTGCCAAGCACCAGACGCGCGTCAGCAACGAGAAGTCGACCTTTTCAGTGGTTTCCCTAAACCCTAAACCTAACCCTATAACCCTAAACCCCAACCCTAAACTTCAGTGGTTTCGTGTGCAGGGTTTTTGAGAACAGTCTCTATTTGTTTTTAGGGTTCTTAAGTGAGGGGGTTCAAGGGAGGTATGTCACCCAAGGTTCCCCAATACTCCCTAGGCTTCCCTGAGGTTCCCTAGATACCTACCCCCCTTGAACCCCCATCCCCCTAAACCCTAAACCCTAAACCCGAAAACATATAAACAGAGACTCCCAGCGTTGTCTGTTTGATTGTGGGCTGCTCCACGTCAAACCGCTACCAGATATTTCCGGCCTCCATGGCGACCACCTGCTCCAAGCGCGCCTGCGGTGGAGGTTCATGGGTAGCTATAAGTAAGGTCATAAGTACCCTACATAGGGTTTCTGAGTATAGCTACCACAATTCCAACCCTACCTATAACTCCCCATGAACATCCAAGTACGATTCAGGGCTTCGGGCTTAGGGAACAATTTCACTGCAAGTTCAAGAGATGCTGGACTACTTCACGCTACAGGGCTCAATGCTGAACATCATCATGGCATTCGGGGCCACTAAAACCCTAAACCCTAAACCCCAAACCCCAAACCCGAAACCCTAAACCCTTAACGGAGTTTGCTTCATCCTCCTGACCCGCCAACATCGGGTTGGGATGCCCTAATCCCTAAACCCTAAAACCTAAACACATCCTAAACACTAAACGTGCCAGACTCGACCACATTGGATTTGCGGGACCTTTGGTCAAGCGAACACTCGAGATCCGGAACCCAAACAACGAAGTCTCTGAACCCAAACATGAAAGAGGCGCTGCGCCTGGCCCTGCCGGCGTAGAGACTTCTTGAGGTAGGCCATCATGTCATCGAACTTGTTCATCTCCTTTGCGCCACGTCGCTCCCTAAACCCGTCAGCGTTCGGGTTCTCTGCGCTCGTTGCCACTGCATATACAAAAAATTGGATGCCTGCGGTTAAAAACATTATTTGTAAACCGTGGTGGAACATGAACCATCCAGTTGGCGATTCTCGGGAATGTGAGCACGCAGGTAGCGGCCATGTTCACGGACACTGGCTTCTACTTCAAGCAGAGTTTCCTAGCCCTGGGCTAAGATTAGCATCTGCTTAAGCGGATCACGTGTGCACAAGACTTAGGAGCCTTTCCCGTGCACAGCATCCATTTCAGCCTTAGGTCTGACGAAGTGATAGGTGAGGCAGATGTGGTTGAAAAAAGTAGTTTCAAGACAACCTCATAATCTAGAACTGCAGCAACCGCGGCAAGAAAGGAGAACCCAGCTCATTGGCTACTTGCCGTTTAGCTTCGCTCAGATCTCCTTCGAAATGCTTTGGGGTCGTACAGCTGCAGGGTATGATGGCGTGACCCGTCGAGTCGGCGGGCGGCGGGCTTGCACAAATTCCCGCATGCTGGTTCACTGAGAAGGCACAGATCCAGTAGCGGACATCGAGCTTATCTCGCTTGCGCAAGGCCTTGGTCAGCGTGCCAAACTCACGCTCACCAAGGCTCCGCGCAATCTCCTCGTACTTCTCCGCATCCAGGGCATCGGCCAGGATTGCGGCCAGAAGATGGGTGAACTTGTTCCGCCAGCTGTGGGTCACCATCTTGACTGCTAGGTGCGCGCAGCCAGCGTTGACCGCAGTGGCATATGCATAGCCTTCGCATTGGGCTTCCTCTCCTGCCAGCCGCCCACGCGAGGCACTCAGGGCCGGCTTCCTAGGGTAGAAGCCTCCGCGGACGACGGCCTCCTCGTCGACGTCCTTTGGGGAATGTGGCCCTACTTGGAGGTTCATGGGTAGTGATAAGTAGGGTTAGAAGTCCTCTTCATATCTCTTAATAAGGCTATACGTATAGTGGCCATACTTCTAACCCTACCTCTGACTACCCATGAACCTCCAAGCAAGCTTAGTCGCTGGACCCTTTCTACTTTAGAATTCTTCTAAATTCTTCAATCCCCCCCACTGGCAATGGCAACCTTCCAGCCCGGTATAGTCGACATTGAGGCGGGGACGGGGGGAACGGGGTGGTCATCGCAAACGCCTATCAACTGCTCTTGGCTCGAGCACGGGAGGGGGGGGAATTTTGACCTTTGGTGGGTGCGGAAATGTTTGTCCTAGGTTTCGGATTCAAGGGCCGGGGAGTTGGGCTCAGCTTGAGGCTACAACGGGGTGGGTCGCAGAGCCAAGCCGAAACAACCGCGACCAAGCGTCCTCTCGCCCACCTCCACTTTCTCGACTTGCTTGTCTCAGGGATGGAAGGCGAGATGGCGATCTGGAGAAGCTCGCGACATGAGCCGCCTGAAGTGGGGGGCAGGTTCGTAGTAAGGCTGCATCGAGGTGGAAGGGGGTTCGTGGTTCGCAGGAAGGCGCCTGCATGCGCGATGTCAAGGGAAGTTCCAAAAATTCCCAATTTGGACTTCCCAAACCCAGAATCCCCAAGAGCCAAAAGTCAGCAACACTCCGACCTAAACAGTCCCGGAGCTCGGAGTGCAGCGGCCTACTCTTCAGAGCTGCCCACAGACCGGCAGCACAGGCCGTGAAGCCACTCCACAAACCAGCATAAGCCATGCTCACCCAGAAGACCCCCAAACCGAGAGAGCCCTTAGGGCCGTGCCTCCTTTGCTTGGAGGGCTCTTGCCAGGGTCATGAAAGCCGTCATGGACACCTCGGTTTCCAAGGACATGTGCAACCTCGCGGAATTAAACCGTGAGCTCGTGGGCTTGCGAGTCGCGCCTCCTTTCGGGCGTGCAGACTTTGCACTTTCTAGGGCGGATCTGAAGCAGACAAGCTTCCGGGTGGGCTAGACTTTAAGGAGTCGGATGTGGCGCGCTGTTGCAGAAGGATTTCTGGGGGCTCGGGCAAGTTTTTACGGGATCACCTTCCTTTCCCGAAGCTTCCTACTCCGCTGGGCTTTGGGGTTGTAGATCGCATCAGCCTGCAAGAACGAGTACAACCCCCATCGACAAACGCAAGCATGAAGCTGTGCTCAAGTTTAGTCAGTCAGAGGGGCATCCAGAAAGCCGCCGCCGTCTTGAGTGTCTTCGAGCTGCTGCACGACACTCAGCCCGTGCCAGAAGCTCTTCGCCTGCGCACTCGCAGCTCGAAACTTTCGGCTCATGTCCATTGCGAGCTCATGAGCACTCATGAGCACTCCGAGGCTGAAAAGCTGAGACGGGTGCAGAAAGGGAGGTGCTGCCGAAACCGTTGTCGCTCGAGAGCGAGTGGTCCCAGATGCTGAGGTGAAGGGTGTCCTCTTGCGTGACATCCTTCAGAAGCACAGGGCGCAAAAAGCAAACCTTGGCCTACACCCCAGCAGAGCCGGAGGCAAATCCAAGCAAAGCAAAAGCCGCCCCCAAAAACCGCGGAGGTCCTCCAGGATGAAGGCCTCCTCCCAGGTGGGGCTCCGGTCGTTCACCGCGGCTGTGCGTCCGCCGCCCTTCCACGGCTTCGGCGCGGCATCGGGCCCCTGCACGGACACCGCGCAGCATCGGCCGGAGAGGGAGTTGGAGGGGAGGTCGGGGAGGTCGATGGCCCTGTGGACCGCCACAAGGAAGTAGCGCGCCTCCCGCCACTGCAGAGACCGTGGGATGATGGCTTGGCGCACCACCTGAGGGCAAAAAGAAGAGGCAGGCAACGAGTGCTCATGTGAGTGCTCTCCGCTTCTCCGCTTGTCCTCAGCTTCTACATGCTTCTACTCAGACTCGGGCACCCCTAGGCTTGGGGCAAGGCACGTCGTGCGTCGTCGACTGGCCAGGATCAAAGTGCTTCATGTTGCCACGCCCCAGGCCGGCGTAGAAGTCGAGGAGCTGCCGGATGGTCAGGCCACGGCCTGCCAGCTCCCGGACTTTCTCCCGCCAGAGCTCGCCTGGGTCGCCTCCTGCACCCTCCGGGTCTTCCTGCCCGCGCCCGTCGCGCGCGTCGCGCGCGTCGCGCGCGTCGCACGTGGCACCGGGCTTGGCAAGGTCAAGCTGTTGAAGATCCAGTCCCAGCTTCTTTGGTGGCAAGACCGGTCCCCGTGTGCAGATGAGCTCTGTGCCGAGACTCGAGAACAAGCACGTCAGGAGAGGGACGATCACCAGCTTTCGTAGGAGGACCACTGCAAAGGCAAACATCCACTTGAACTCGTCGGCTTCCGACAGGTTCGCCAGAAAAGCCGTGACGACAAGGAGATGGAGGAGCGAGAGGCAAATGCTGAACATCCAGAACGCCACGTCCTTGAGACACCGTCGCCACTCGTGCCAGCGCCGACGGCCCGACTTCCCTTGCTCAGCTTGCACGAAGCTGCGCCAAGCCAGGTGGAATTCCAGGCTGCGCGGGGCGAGGTTCAGCAGCACGGAGAACAGGGCGACGAACGTGTACCACAGGAATGACCCCTGCTCAATGGGACATTCAGCTGGGCTGCTTGCTGCCACGGCTGAGCCATCGACGGAAAAGAAGAGGGCTACAAAGGACAAGGAGCCCAAGACACAGTCCATCATGATCTTGGCCCGCTTGGCTGCAGTCACGTGGATGTCACACAGGCAAAGCTCGTAGACGGGGTGCGTTGCCACCAGTGCGGCCCAGAGCCGATGTACACGGGACGTGTGAATCTTCACGAAGGCAGACGGCAGGGTCTCCTCCATCTTCAAGGCGAGCTCCTTGATCAAAGGAGACCGCTGTGCGGCCAAGCTGCCCTGAACCCAACCACGGCGACCCCAGATATGAGTTTCGATGGTGCTGACGTGCAGCTGGTGGCACCGAGCAGCCTCCCACCTCGGCTTCTCCGGAATTCGACCGCAGCCGCGCTGCGGGGGGAGTGCTACGAGTACACCTTCTATTCATGGCTTCATGCGGATTTGACAAACAGGCAGAAGCGCCAAAGCATGAGACCTGGTACGGGAAGCAACCAGTCTTCCAGGCCTAAATCAAACAAATAACAGCCCGGACCAAGGCCAGCTCCCACAATGATGATACTTACCGTACCTACTCTATACATCACACACCGCAGCCATCTCCGGGGCGGAAAGCCACCCCAGCCGACTTCACAGCCCAATCAAAACACACACTCCAAAAGACACCACCACGGATCACACTAGCTTCCCAGGCTTCGCTAGCCAAGTCGCAAAGTGTTGCGGCACATCGTGTGCTCCAGCAAGCCGGATGCCAGTGTGGGCTTCGCCCTCTGGAGCATGTGCTTCTGCAGCTGCACCAATTGCGCCGGCGATTCGGATATCCCCGACATCCCAGCAATCCCACGCAGCTGCGACCACGGGGACCGGCTGCTCTGTCGGACCGCACGCGGCGGCTCGGATGCCTTGGGCGGCTCGGACGCCTTGGGCGGCTCGGTGCCGGCACCGGTGGCTTCCTTCTGACGTCTGAAGAGTCTGAAACGTCTGCAGAACCTGCAGGCGCAGGCCCGGCGTCTCGGAAGCTGAGCCGGCGGCAGCTCCGCGAGGAAGTAGTCGTCCCGCCAGAGCCCCGAGCGGCGGACGCGGGCGTCGCGGCAGCAGCCGAAGGTGATGAGCAGCAGCGACGTGCCCAACAGAAGCCAAAGCCCCAGAGCCGGAGGGCGCACCCACCAGCCCTCTCGCTCCACGAGCTCCCGGAGCCCCTCCGCCGTCAGCATGTTGGCATTCCTGCTTGCACTTGTGAACACATGCGAGCACACGCGCAAGCAGGAGCACATGAGACGAGAGAGCGGGAGAGGGAGAGAGGCAGAGAGCGAGGAGGAGAGAGAGAGAGAGAAATGGTACTTTGATGTAGAGGGAGAATAGAGAGAGAAATAGAGAGATAGAAATAGACAGAGAAATAGAGAGAGAGAGAGAGAGAAAAAAAAAGCCTTGAGGCGTTAAATACATGAAACCAGGGAAGGTAAGTGCTGCCTTGGGCATGGAAGTGGACGCAGTCAAGAGTACGTGTGTGAAAGCAAGGAGGAGAGGATGAGGGGCAAGGAGGAGACTCAAAGAGGGAGCCGCGATGCGATATGCCGAGCCACGTGCAGTCCAGGAGGATGTCCATGAAGATGCCGAAGATGGAGAGGTGGACCGTCGCGCACCTAGAAAAAGCTGTCCGCGAAACATAAAATAGAGCCTCATGGGGCCGTCCTAAACCCTAAACCCTAAACCCTAAACCCTCTGCTCCCGCAAGGCACCAGGTGCCGGAGGTGTCCGTGGCGTTGACAGCCCGGAGCTCGGCCGCGCTTGCCAGGCGCACGCCTTGCTGCGACCAGGTGTCGCCGTCCAGGTAGGCCTTAAGGCTTTGGGATGTTTTGAGAATTTACAGTAGAGCTTCTAGATATTAGAAATAGGAATTGCGAAATGCTGTTAGCCACTCACTTCTGTCCCAGCGGCGCAGATCCAGTTTGCCTCCGGTGACGCAAGGGCGACCCGCACGTAGATGGGCGTGTCGTCCGCAACGCGGACCTCCAGCGACCTCTGGGTTTGCAGCTCGAACAGTGAGACGTCGACGAGGGGCGCAGCAGCCTCGACCGGCCGCCCGGCCCGAGTCCACGCCCTGCCCCCACCGAGGCCATCCGAGACCTCCGTGCTGAAGGCCGTGATCACCAGCGCAGATCCATTGCCGACGGCCTCCAGAGGGGGCCCACCACGTATCACGTCATAACGACATGAGCCTAACCTTGCCATAAACCCTCACCACTATCCACGCAATCCATCCTCCCTCTCTTCGAGCCTCCGTGGGCAGCAGAGCGGAAGCTAGGCCGAGGTTGCTATTCAAGTTCACAGGCGTGTAGCTCCAGTTTGCCGAGTCCGGCAACCTCGAGACAGGCGACATTGAAGAACCATGCCATGAGCTAGTGCGTAGCGTTCTACTGCTTGGGGTAAGACAGGGTGCCCGGATGTGCAGGCTAACAGGTGCCAAAGGTGTTCCGACTCGGAACCCTACAAACAGAAATTCAAAGGTCACTGGGTCGGCGGCTTGATGGCTGTCATCACACCGAGATCTGTTGATGTGCTCTCCTCCACGCCGGTCAACTCACCTTGGCTTGACAGAGACTGCGTATGTGGAAACCGTGCACCATCACAAAATGATACAAGAGAACCACGCAGAGGAAGATATGTCTGCTGTCTCAAAAGTACCGGAGACTCGGCGGGGCTCTCTCAGTATGCGTCTTGCACCCAAAACAAACTTGCGCGGCAGGCGACTCAAAAGCAAGTTGGTGTTGCTCTCCAGCTCGAGCGCAATGACAGCAACCCTGCTGGTTGCCGTCTGAGTGGTCTGGGAGCGGGTGCTTGATAGCGATGAAGACAAAACTGAGGTTGATGACGTTGACTTCGATGTACTCGTGGATAAGGCCGAGGTGCTTGACTCTGACGTCAATGACGATGACGTTGACGACGTTGACATCGACGTCTGCGAGCTTGACGTTGAGATGGATGACAATGACGTCGACGACGTTGAAGTTGAAGTCGATGACGTCGGTGTCCTTGACATGGAGGTGGATGATGTGGATGTTGACATTGATGACGTCGCCGTCGTTGTTGACATTGACATTGACGTCGATGTGGTTGACGTCGACGTAGACGTTGACATGGACGCCGTCGTCGTCGACGTCGTCAATGACGTTGATGAAGTCAATGTAGATGACGCTGTCCTCGAGGTTGAAGTTAGCGTCCACGATGTTGACGTCCCTGTTGCGGATGTGGATGATGTCGTTGATGTTCTCGTCGACGATGTGGTTGACGCCGACGTCGACGTCGTCGAAGACAGTGACGTTGATGAACTCAATGTTGATGACACCGTCCTCGAGGTTGAAGTTGGCGTCAACGATGTTGACGTCCGTGTTTCTGATGTAGATGACGTTGCTGTCATTGATGTTCTCGTCGACGATGTGGTTGTTGACGACTGTGACGTCGATGATGTGGATGATGTTGATGTCGACGAGAATGACGTCGATGACGTCGAGGCGGTTGACGTTGATGTCCTTGACATTGTTGTCGATGAGGTCGCTGTTGCTGTTGTGCTCGTGGTTAGAGCCTATGGAACATGTTAACTGGCTGGGCTTCAAAGGTGGTCTTGACTCAGGAACATGTGCAAACTCGAGCAAGGTCTGTATAGATCTGTGAGAACGCAGCAGCTAGGGTGAAGGCAGTTAAGGCAATACCAAAAGAGTCGAACCAGAAAAAGCCACATCTACATGCGAGAAAAAGCCTTCCCAAAAACTTCTGATCTACACATCTCCACATCTGCGATGCCTAGGGATATAACTGATAACTTTGTTGCCCGAACTGAGCGCAAGCAGTTGCGCGGATTCAGTTCGAGAGTACCATTTGGCACATCAGTTTGAAAATGCGATACTACCCTCACTCCCACCGGACACCGCCGCAATAAGCCCCTTCTTTCTTGGATTACCGCCAACATAAGCGTGTTGTACAGCAAAGGCAACTCGGCAAGCTATTTTTCTGCTGAGATGGCTGTAACTGTAGACCCCTCAGGCGTCGATTCGGAAGCGCCGTCCTCTGTTGTGTTCCATTGCGACATACTTCTGCACAATTTGAATGCTCAATATTGCTTGCAGTACTCCCCATATGTTGCTGACACTGCCAAGGCTTCGAGCTTCAATCCGCTAAGGCTTAGGATATAGGGCTATGTCAATTGTCACACTTGCGTAGTAGCCCAGTAGCCATACTATACTAAGGGCACCCTTTTTTGGGTTGGTTACTTGAAAAGGGAACCTTGAACCCCAAAAAGGGAGAAGCGCACCACGGGGCTACCAAGCTTGTAACTACCTTGCAGTACTTCGCAATGCCCGCATGGGCGGGTCTGGCAGCGCTGGCACTAACTTTGTGTTGATTCAATAGATTCAATAGCCACAGAAAATCCGAAAAGCGTGAGCCTTGTCTCAGGTCCGGGGCTACAAACAAACCGCAGTAGTTGCAACATGCTCTTCACACGGAATCGGGCACCTGGAACGACACGCTGCCCAAGTCTCCTCCGGTAGCTGCAAGACCCCAAGTCACGACGGTGCCGTCTGTCTTCTTGGCTGCAAAGGCCGACTCGGTGGAGTAGATCACGTCCACATCAATCAGCTCGCCGCTCACGCTGCTGGAGTCTCCGCCGGAGCCCGCATCGCCCCAAGTCACCACGGTGCCATCCGTCTTCTTGGCCGCGAAGGCGAAGCGGTTAGGATAGATGACGTCCACATCGGTCAGCTGGCCGCTTACACTAGAGGAGTCTCCACCGTTCACAGCATAACCCCAAGTCACCACCGTGCCATCCATTTTCTTTGCCGCGAAGGCGTACTCATTGGAGTAGATCACGTCCACATCCGTCAGCTGGCCACTCACGCTGCTGGAGTCTCCGCCGTAGGTCGCATCGCCCCAAGTCACCACAGTGCCATCCGTCTTCTTGGCCGCAAAGGCGAAGTTGGTGGAATAGATGACATCCACATTGGTCAGCTGGCCGCTTACGCTGCTGGAGTCTCCGCCGTAATACAAACCCCAAGTTACTACGGTTCCGGATGTCGTTTTGGCGGCGAAAGAATGCGACGTCCAGGCGATAACATCCACATTGGTCAGCTGGCCGCTCACACTGCTGGAGTCTCCCCCGTAACTGCTTTGACCCCAAGTCACCACGGTGCCATCCGTCTTCTTGGCAGCGAAGGCGCCCTCATTGGAGTAAATCACGTCCACGTCGGTCAGCTGGCCGCTCACGCTGCTGGAGTCTCCCCCGGCATTGCTTTGACCCCAAGTCACCACGGTGCCATTTGTCCTCTTGGCAGCGAAGGCGAAGGCGAGCCCATTGGCGTAAATCACGTCCACATCGGTCAGCTGGCCGCTCACACTGCTGGAGTCTCCGCCGTACAAATTATGGCCCCATGTCACTACGGTGCCGTCTGTCCTCTTCGCAGCGAACGCGGACTTCCCAGAGAAGATCACGTCCACATCGATCAGCTGGCCGCTTACGCTGCTGGAATCTCCGCCATCTCCATTGTTACCCCAAGTCACCACGGTGCCGTCCGTCCTCTTTGCAGCGAAGGCCAGAGAAGAGGAGTAGATCACGTCCACATCGGTCAGCTGGCCGCTCACGCTGCTGGAGTCTCCCCCGGCATTGCTTTGACCCCAAGTCACCACGGTGCCATCCGTCTTCTTGGCGGCGAAGGCGTACCCTGTGGAGTAAATCACGTCAGCTTGGCCGGCCAAACTGAAGAGTTGCCTGCTGCAAACTGCCAGCAGAACTCGAAAGGTGAAGGAAACGAAGGAGGAAAGCGAAGATGCCATGGGTCGAGTGGCTGTCTTCGGGTCTTCGTGAACCTACAATGTGATGAGTCGACGTTCCCAAACCCAAGACTTGCCATGGCACGTAAAAAATTTCTAATACTGTAGCGCTGTAACCTAGGCCCTCAACATCTAGTCAAACCCGTAGATCCTCCATCCTAACCGCACAAAATACTACATTGTGAGCTTCGGCCTCGAAACGGTCTGCTTTTAGATTGGCAACGGCCTGACACTTGAGCCATGCACGTTTGCTTGTTGTGCGTGCTCTCAGCGGACATGCGTATTCTGATCTTGAGAATTCGGCTCGTAAAAGAAACCCTAGTAGGCCCTAGAGGCCTGGAGGCCCCAGAGGCCGTCAGCTGTGCATACATTCTAAAAATTTCTAAAACACCACATCAAGCAATACCTTAACCCGAAGACATCAAGCGCCGCCACATCTGTGACATGTCGAAGCCGCCTATCGTCTTGAACTCAGGTACACGACGGAAGAGATCAAACAGAACAGCTTAATAGCGACCGCTGGAACAATGCGTACCATGATGGAAGGGCAATGGAAGGGCTTGCCGTTTCCCGTCAAATTTCGAGGTCCAAAGACTCCTAGCAAATTCCTGGCAGGCTTTCGATTTGACATTTTTGGGTTTACCATTCGACCATATCGGTTTAGGGCTTGCTTCCATCAAAGCCGTTTCAGTTTCTTGCTAGTTTTTTCTAGATTCTAGCTTTCCATTTGACCTTTGAATATTTGTACTTACGCCTGCCATGCGCTCCCCATTACTTTTCTGCAATGCGGGAAACAAGGAAATTGGCGCTTGGGCTCTGCACGCAAGAAGCAGCAAAAATTGTCAGAAAATTTAGGGTTTAGGGTTACAAGGGTCCTGGTTTAGCCCCGACAACCCGTGCAGCCCCTCGCTTGAAGCACGGCTTCTACTTCCACTCGACCTTACTCGGCCACCCTATGGGTTTGTCACGGCCTTTTAGAACCTAAACCCCCTGTTGAGACCTAAACGCCTTGTTGAGATGGATGGCCAGAATTGAACTGCTCCGACCTGTTCAGACAACATGGCACACTGTGGCTTGGACTCGAAGTTGCCCATGACTTTTAACCTTTAAACTAGAAACATGTTCTGCTTTATCATCGCAGGAACAGCACTCGTCCATTTTGGATTTATATGTATTTATAAATTCTTTACACAAGACTATATTCTAAACGTGGCCAGGGTGTATTGAAAGAGAAAGAAGGACAGCTATTGGGACAACCGATGGGCCAAGTGTGCGGGAAATATTTCTTGTCGTTGTTATTTGTAGTTCAATGAATATAACAAGCCCCAATTACAACACGCAATACTAGGAGTGTATGTGCCCCCCCCTTTCCATACTTTATGATTTTATGATAGATTGATTTTGTCATGGGTTCTTAACATTTTTTTTCATGAAAACCTGTGTGAAGTCGACCAACCTGGTCTTGCAACAACCAGAAGCAAACACAGGCGGCCACGCTGCTTTTCACTTCGTGGGTCCAAACTCTCAGTGAACAGCAACCTTGAAGCTACTGCACGA